TTACTACTTATTATGTAAATAAGTTAATGTTATTATATAAAGCGATTTAACAATAAAAATATGTTATATGGATTCATGAATATAAACTATAACTGCATTACAATATATTTAAATGACTTATGTTGTTTGTGTAAGGTATGTCGTTCCCTTTGAGCCGATTTTTAAAAAAGTTAACTCACTATTTTAGCCAAAAAAATATTGCCTATGTCTAGAGATTTCGCTAATAGATATCGAAACTTTTGTGTCATCTATAAGCAAAATCTCTTGCATAATTATTTTTCTAAATAAAATGCTGAGTTAGTCTTTTTTTTAAATCGTCTAAAATGGAGAGCTTTTACACTAGATGTATGCATTACAAATTAAAACGATTAGTATTTTAGAGAATGCGAAATCACGGTCGATATCAATTTAATCCTTTCGCGCCAATGGATAACTTTTGAATCATAATTTTTCAATAATATTTTTTATGCATTAAAAATGGCCACTAATAACTTTTGTAATCATATTTTTAATTTTTAATATTTGCTGTATCACTAACTCGCTTTGTATCATATGTTATTATATCATATTATAGTTATAAAAAATCAATTTTTTCGTATCATTTTCGCGCCAAAATTTTAACTCATATTTCATGTTATCAAATCTTTCTAAAAATATAAGTAATAATTTTATTATGAATATATATATATGTATATTAATATTTTTATTTAAAAATTATTATCTTTTTAATCATTTTAAGTGCTGGAAATTGAGCATAATGCCATTTGGCATCAATGGTCATTTCTTATGCACCAAAATATTAATTTATCAATGGAAATTTTAGGCAAATTATTTCGGATATTTAGTTTTAGGGTTATGAAAACTGGATTGGGTAGGGGGGTAATTAAAATTTCGTAATTATTACCTGTATTAATTATCTAATATCTATAAGTGGATTTCTTGGATATAGAGAGGTTCTAATAAATATTTTTTTATAAATAACATGTAATATGAGATGCTTTTTATATCAATATGCATTTAGATATATGACTACACTTATCCCCGAGGGTGATATATCTGAGACTGATATAGAGAGCTCAGACGAAGAAGATAATTATTATCCTTTGCTGGGAGATGATTTGCAGACATCATCTTCTATTACGAATGAACTAGATCTTCAATTGGAGGATATAGTAGAAGATACAACTATAACTAAAATAAAAGATAACCCGATTTTGTCTAAGAAAGACATCGGACAAATTAATACAGAATTTAATCCCTATTTTGGAAATTCCTTAACAGGATTCAACTCCCTCCTCTAATATATTTTCGTAAATTTTTGGACCATCAGATAATTAGTAATTTCGTATCGGAAACAAATATATTCCTTCCAATATTGTGGTAAATCTATAAATACAGATAGCGATGAAATTAAAAGATTTATTGGGATACATTTATATACTAGCTTAGTTAAGATGCCTTCTATAAGACAATATTAGTCTGTTGAAACATCTATTCCACAAGTAGCGGAACCTATGTCCCGAAATCGTTTATATTAATAATAACAAAGATATGGTAAATAGGGAAGATGAAGGATACAATAAATTATTCAAAATTCAACCCTTTATATGCCAAATAAGAAAAAATTTTAAAAAAAAATCAACTTGAAGAGAAGCTAGCTGTAGACGAATTCTTAATTCCCTTCAAGGGACGTTCTAAATTACGACAATACATTAAATCGAAGCCCCATAAATGGGGGATAAAAGTGTTTGCCCTATGTGGCTCTTCCGGGTTCATGTATGATTTTGAAATATACCAGGGAAAGTCTACTAATATCATAAAATCATGTTTAGGTATCAGTGGGGATATTGTTCTACGCCTGTCAGAAATAATACCTTCAAATAAAAACCACAAATTATATATGGATAATTTTTTCTCTTCATACTAATTATATTTAATTCTTAAAAAAAGTATCCGGAATGGTAAAATCAAATTGTTTATCAGGGTGCACACTTAATAATGATACGGCTTTAAAAAAAGAAGGAAGAGGTGCTATAGATTATAAAAGCGAAAAGAATGGTATTATTATCTGCAAGTGGCAGGACAACAAAGCTGTTACTACTATATCTAACTTTATAGGTGTTTTACCTACAACCAAAGTTAAGCGATGGTCTGTTTCGGATAAAGTCTTTATAAATGTAGAAATGCCCGCAATAATTAAAAACTATAATGAGGGAATGGGTGGAGTAGATCTTCACGATATGCTGGTGGAGTTATATCGGATAGATATTAAATGGAAAAGATATTATATGCGAATGGTTTTTCATTTATTGGATTCTTGCGTAGTAAATGCCTGGCTCCTCTATAGACGTCATATGAAAGCATTAAATAATATAAAATTTATGACACTACTGGTATTTAAATCTCAGATAGCAAAAGGGTTGATGCTAGCGGGAAAGGAGAATACTAAGAAGACCGGAAGACCTTCAAGTGTAGTTGTAAAAAGAAGAAAAGCTACCAATATTGCCCCCATATTGGATATAAGATATGACCAAGTAGGTAATTTTCCAAAGCCCGTAACTATTAAGCAAAGGTGCAAGTATTGCAAAGCTTATTCAAGAATGTGCCAAAAATGTAATATATATTTATGTTTAAATAATAAACAAAACTGTTATTTATCATTTCATATGAAATAAAATATTTTTTAAATGAACTTGCATTTTGCCCATTGATGACAATTGGAATCATTGAATATCTTTTGATAGAAATACTTGAATTAAGTTTTTTTGATGAAAATGTGTTTTTTAGGTTTATAATTATCTCTTAAAAAAAATTTTTCATCGAAGGAAAAAAAGTCGGGCGCGAAAGGGTTATCGGATCGACCACCAAAAAACTGACTCATTAGCCAAAAAATCGGCTATTACACAACTAGACTCGTTAGATGTTTTTAAACCCTTTTCTTTTGGCAGCAAAAAATCATATCAAATTTTTGCATTATCTTTTAAAATAAAAAATATTATATAATTAAATACACAATTATAAGATAATGCAAATATTGGCCATGATCCAATATTTAATATCAATACAGCCCTAGTTTTTAGATATTCTTTTTTTAAAATATTGATTTATTTAAACTATTAAAATTGTTGGTTTGTCTAGTAAATTATATAAAAATCATAAAATAACCCAAAAAATCTGTTTAAATTTGATTTTTGAAGCAGCACTTTTACAAATATCACTATTTTTTAAAAACCTATATTCCATTCTTATATAAAATAAGTAATAAGATGTTATCAGTCCCACTTTTAATAATTTTTTATGAAAGAAGATAAAAGAAATTTGTTTAATTTTCAGCTTTAAAACATTTTAGTTCGTAAAAATATTTTGTAAAATTTGTTTAAACAAAAAATATGGGCAAGTCAGCAACAATTTCTACAGTGCAATCAGTGTTATTAAAATTTCCTAAGCACGCTACTTTTTTCAGTAGTGGTAGCTTTATGTAGCGTATTACAGCTACTTCAATTTTCTATAATAAATGCACATAAAAACCATTAAAATATATTTATAATTAATTCTAAAAATATTTTTATTTAATTTAATTATGAAATTTATATTTAAAAATCTGCATTATAAATCTCGTTTTAAAAATAATTTAAAATGTTGATGTATGGATGATATTATAGATAATTTTCATACAGATCATATCTAAAAGTAATTTCCCTGGAAAATGATAATTGGAATTTCGTTTTCACAGGGTATATTTTTTATTGAAAGATGTACCGGAAGGTTTTATGATCAAACAAGACTAGTAGATTCAATGAAGAAACATTTAAAAGCAATTTATCAAACAAATTTAATATCAATGTGTAGTGTCATAAAAATATTATTTAAGAATTATATTATAAATTGTATAAATAATTAATATCAGAGACCTGCAGAGGTACCATTTGCATGGCCAGGCCTAGATTCTTTTAATAAAAATTTTAGGCTTGGCCCAGGTTTTATATTTTCAGGCTTGACCCAACTTTTTAAAAAAAATTTTCAGGCCCAGCCTGGTTATTTTAAAAAATTCAGACCAGGCCAGGTTTTAAAAAAATTAAAATATCACCTGGGTACACAGGCCAGCTTAAGACTGATCCTGTAAGTCTCTGATTAATATAACCATTTCATTTTATCATTAGATAGATAAGTCTGATTAAAATGAAATTTTATCATCAGACTTATCTATCTAATGATAATATTTTGTAAGTATTTATCTGGATGTTAAAAATGATTAAAAATAACCACTCATCTAATTAATATATTTTATCACAGCATGCTAAAAAAATACTTATTTCAATTTTTTCTCATTTCAACCAATTCTAGAGAATTGGTTTAGAATTGGTTTAATAGATAAAAAGATAAAGAGTGGTGGCTTGGCCAGTCCAAACATGGTCATTTATCCCATATTATTTTTATTTTATTACTGTTATAATTTTAGACTAACCCTAGTCATATCAGAAACACCATCTACTATGGATATTTTTTTGAAATAAATAATACAATTAAAAATTATTTAGACACATTTTTTTTAAATCTAAAAACACTCAAATAAATATTTTCGTTTATTTTTCTTATATAAAAACATATGTATATTAAATTTAATATTGTATTGTGTGCTAATGTTGAACGATTATTTAGTCAAAGCTTATACTTATTGTCACTCACTAATGACAATATGGAAATATTATTATTGAGATGCAATTTTAATTTGCGGAAATAGAGATAAAAATTTTTTAAAAAATTATAAAGTAGCGTAAAGAGCATCTAATAGGGTCCTACTTTTTTGAAAATGGGAGCGTTAGCCTGCTACTTTATTTTAAAAATAATGGTAACAAGTACTACTATTAAAAGTAGCTTTTAACAACACTGAGTGAAACTCTATAAATAGGGTTCAGAAATAAAATAATTTCAAAAACAAGAAAAAAAAACAGACATAATTATTTTTATGTAAGATCAATCCAACTAAAAATATTTATTACCATCATTTTTGAATCCATCTGAATTGCTTTTAGCATGTAATGCATAGCAATAAATTCTACGAGCATCTTTGAGTTTTTGTAAAAAAACTGCTACAACAGCTTCACTTCTACAATATCCATTCCCTTTGAATTAAAATTTTTTAAATTAAGATTAACACTAAATAAGATGTACCAGTTGCATCAAATGATTTACAAGTCCCATCAGGTGATAACATATTCAACCTTTGAAACTGTAAAGCTATCGTAGGTTTTACACATATGGAAACTCCACCAACAATGGCTGCATCACATTGCCCTGTTCTTATAGCAGAGAGAGCATTTTCAAAGGCTAATAGACTTGAGGAGCAAGCTGTATCTACAGAATAACTTGGACCTATAATAAAAATGAGAACTTATATAAATTTTTATAAAACCCTTCAAGTCTAATGCAAAAGAAATTCGGTTGGCAAACATAGATCCAGTACATCCTGTCATGCTATACCCTATAACTTTTTCAGCTTCTAATCCCCAAGCTTCATGGGCCTCAGAAGCACTTCCACCAATATATACACCTGTCTTTGTTCCTCTCAACCTCTGAGGATTAATTCCTAAAATAAATGTGAAAAATATTATATAATATCATTAAACCTACCAGCATCAATAATGGCTTCATATGACACCTCTAATAGCAATCTTAATTTAGGATCCATAACATGTGCTTGCTTTGGATTCACCCCAAAAAAATTTGCGTCAAATTTTGATAAGTCCTTGATTTTCCCACTTCTTTCAGGGAGTCCATATAAATCTGAAATGGCAAAATATATTGAAAGTATTATATTCTATTACTTTTAGGCCATCTTGTTTCTTCACTATTTACCATGTCTATTTTGTTCATTAAATTATCTCTGAATTCCATAACATTGTCAGCTTCTGGTAGTCGACCAGAAATTCCAGAAACAACTATATCATCAACAATCCTAGGCATTTCAACATAATTTAATATTTCATTCTCTCGAATATTAGCAGGCATATTTTATTTTATTAATTTTATGAAAATATTTATAAATGTGCAAAAAATATTTGATAATCGGGTGATATTATGAATATAACGCGATTTATATGACGTATTTCAGGATATGATTAGTTTGCAATATTTGGATAGAATATAACTCGATTTTTCATAAAATAAATGATTGACATCTTCAAACATAACATATGACATCTTAGAATTTTAATTAGGCCATTTCCAGACAGAATGTTTTTACAAAGCGGTTTTTTAAGGTTTAAACGATTGAATGGGGTATGAAATACCTTCTTATAATTAATTCATTGCATTTGGGCTCTCCCAAGTGAATTCTTTTTTTAGCGATATGGACATATCTTTGAAAATTTAAAACGCATTCTTCCTTATCTTTCGGCTCACAAGGCCTTTTTTTTAATTCAAAATTTCTTCAACATCCCTAAAATCCTTTATGCCCTACGATCGATCCCATTATTTTTAGAGAGGGAGCATTTATTGAGATTCGAAACCAGAATAAAAGTCATCTTTAGCGACTGCTTAAATATCTAATTATAGCTTGGCATCAAGCCATACTTCCTTCCAAACATGGTGGCCTATAAGACCCCCATTGTCGATCTCAATATGTGCGTTCATTGCTAGCCACCTTCAGGCACATATATTAATTGATCAACATCTGTCGGTTCACGATCCTTTTTTGAATACAGCTAAGATAGAATGGGCAAAATCCGTCACAACCTCAACCCTACTTCTGATCTCTGTAAAGCAGAAGAATTGGGATTTACCACTTGTGAAAAACTCCCTTGATTACCTTATTTCGAGTTTCTCACCAATGGCTAGATCCACATTTATTGAACTTATCAAAGATCGGGGATATGAATTTTTAGTTGTTATTCCATCTACCAATCTCAAACTCGAATTGGACAACAATGAGCTCAGCTATGCTCTATGTATCAGGCTCAACATTCCCTTTTCATTACCATATAAATGCAAATGTCATACTGATGCTAACAATATGGCGCTACATCCATTACATTGCAATTGTAATCCCGGTGTAATATGATATTTTAACTTAAATTTAAATGAACTCCCTTTAGTAATACTGATATTTATGATTGACGTTATAATAAAATAACATTATAAAATTTAGTGTGATATTTTAACTTAATTTAAATTAACTCCCTTTAGTAATACTGACATTTATGATTGACGTTATAATAATATTTTATTAAAATATCATTATATAATTTAGTAATACTGACATTTATGACTGACATGTAATGTTAAAAGTTTTTATTATTTAGTAATACTGACATTTATGACTGACATGATATGTTAAAAGTTTCTATTATTTAGTAATACTGACATTTATGACTGACAGGATATGTTAAAAGTTTCTATTATTTAGTAATACTGACATTTATGACTGACATAATATGTTAAAAGTTTCTATTATTTAGTAATACTGACATTTATGACTGACATGATGTGTTAAAAGTTTCAATTATTTAGTAATACTGACATTTATGACTGACATGATATGTTAAAAGTTTCTATTATTTAGTAATACTGACATTTATGATTATTTAGTAATACTGACATTTATGACTGACACATAATGTTAAAAATTTCTATTATTTAATGATATTGACATTAATGACTGACATGTAATGTTAAAAAGATTCTATTATTTAGTAATACTGACATTTATGAATTTATATTGCAATATTAACACTTATGACTGACAGGTGATGCTTAAAGTTTATATGTTTAGCATATTGACTCTTATGAGCAGTGGCGTAGCTACGGGGGTGGTTTTCGGGTTTGGACCCCTCCCAGAGCAAAAATTTATTTTTAGATTATACGTTCAAAAGACTTATAAGTGGTGACTTTATATCAAATAAATATCAATAATATTTATATTTTTCTGGTTTTGATGTTTGTGGAAGGATATTATATTACTATTGAAATTATTCTGGATAGTATTATTATAAAATCATTGAGAATAATCTACTAAATTATAAAACAAATTATTGATGCATTTAAAAATATATTTATTATATATTATCGAAGATATGGTTATGATTTGTAGGATATACCCGGCCGAAGGCCGGGCAAAAGAGCCGAAGGCCCGTTAAAGGGGGTCTGGGGGCGAAGCCCCCAGGCTTTTATATGTATGGACCCCCTCTAAGGAAAATTTCTAGCTACGCCACTGCTTATGAGTGATAAATAATTAAAATTTTCTAATATTAAAATTTATGAGATAGATAATATTTTAATTTCTGATACAGTCAAAACCGTTTAATTGCATATCGCTTAAGTGCAAAAACTTTTAAATGCGAAAAAACCCCGCGATTTTGATAATAACTACTATGGTATAATGTTAAATTACATTTATAATTGCGAATCGGTTAATTGCGAAATATCGGATAATTGCAAAATTTTTCAGGTCCCATTTATAAAACAATAACGTTAATTTAATTGGATAAGTGAAAAAATAAAAAAAATTTATCGAAAAAAATTATTCATCATTTTTTTTATTTAACCTTTTTCCATTCATTCATTCATTCATTACCACGCCAGAAATTAATATAAAAATGGTAAAAAAATCATTCCAAACATTAACCCTGAAGCATAAAAAAGAAATAATTGATAAATTAAACACTACATCAAAAACACAATTAGAATCAAATTACAATTGCCACGTCTCGACAATCTACCGTTTAATAGCGAATAAAGAAAATCTATGCTCACAATTTCTAAGGAATAAACCTCCTACAACTAAAAGAGTTAGAATGAGTTGTTACCCAAAGACAGAAGCAGCTTTATTGGTTTGGTTTACACAAATGCGAAGTAAAAATTGCAGTCTAAATGGGCTAGTGATGTTAGAAAAAGCTATGTTTTTTAGCCAAACATTCAATGAAGGTAATTATAAGTTTTTATATTATATATATATAAATTATAGGAATTCCTACTAGCAGATGGTTGCAGAGATTTAGGAAAAGACAGAATATAAATTTTCATAATGTTTGCAATGAAAAGGGGAGTGCAGATATTATTAATGCAAATGAATGGAGCAGAAATACACTCCCATCTCTGATTAAAGATTATCAAAGGAGTAATATTTACAATTGTGATGAGGACTATACTACCGAGCATTACCAAAGGGCACAATGGAATTTAGTGGAACTCAACCACTGGGCTTCAAACCAGACAAGGAAAAGGTCACAGTTCTATTTATCATAAATGGGGATGGATCTGATAAAAAGTTATGTTGTAGGGAAATTTAAAAACCCTAGGTGCTTTAAAAATAAAAAATTACCAGTTAAATACTACTCCAATAAAAGCAGCTGGATGACAACCTCAACTTTTGAAGATATTCTTAAAGAATGGGATTTCCTCATTAAAGAAGAAAATTTTATTGTTTTGTGACAATGCATCTTGTCACAAAACAAAATTAACATTTAACAATATAAAATTAATTTTTTTACCAGCAAATACAACATCATTAATTCAACCATTGGTCATGGGTGCAATTAGATCCTTTAAATGTCATTATAGAAAGGGTATCATGAGAAAAATGATAACATTGATGGAAGGAAATGACACCATTTCTTTTTATAAAAGATTTACACTATATGATAGCCTCTATCTTATAAAATTTGCATGGGGTGAGGTGACAAGTACCACAAGTGTTTTATTGAAGCTAAATTTTTTGATAAGTCTATGGCATTTGATTGGGAATCGGAGGATGAAATAGCATTAACTGACAACGAAGAAGATGAATTTGATCCCATATTTGAAGAATATGTGTTACACGATGATGATGCTAGCTGCCATGGAATTTTAGATGATCAGGATATTTGTAATCAGATAAGATTAGAGTTGGAAGGTTTAATTACTTAAAATTTTAATTAATCTTATTTTTTATAGAAGGTTATGAAAGCTCCGAGAATGACGAAGGGAACCTAGAGATATCTGATCATTTAATTACAAAAAATCAGGCTCTTAATGGTTATTATACTTTTCTTGAATATGCTCATGAACATCTAAGGGATCAAGATTCACTAAGAAAGCTAGAGAATATAGTGGAAAAAGAATTATTTACTCCAGAGTCTAGCCAAACTCTTATCACAAAATATTTTTATTAAATCTTATATTACTTTATAATAATTGTGATACATGTATAATAAAATTAGTTCAAATAAAATCTTATGTTATAAAGCATTAATAAACTTTCATTCCAGCATGGTCTGTTAATACATTTACATTTATAATATTAGAATTTATAAGATTTGAATAGGCATAGGATTTTAAATCAAATATCATGTGAATGAAAACAAAACACTTAATAAACTTAAATTCTTTTATATTAATCTTATTGTTTCCAGTTTTTTAGGCAAAATATTTTAAAATTTGGCTTTAATAATAAATTAGAATTTAAAAAGTGATAATATATTTGTGTAAAATTATATTTCAGTAAATTTAATGAAGGTAAAATGACAAAAGTAGTTAAAATTAATGGAAATAAATATTAGGGTATTGTAAAGGAAAAAATGTTATTATCTTTCATAAAAGCTTTTTTTTGCTTTAATTCTTACATATCTTAAATAAAAAATGAGATAAAATCAAGTAAACAAATTTAATTATAATTTTATTAAATAAAAAATAATTTATCAACAACTATAATGCTAATACATAAATAATTACAATCTTTTTATAATTAAGTCTTGTTTTCTTTGTTCCTTTCTGTCTATAATCATGTCTAGATCTAGAGAAAGTATATATATCAAAATATATCACATTACTTTCAAGTGCTTCAGATATTTTAATATTATTTGATTGATCTAAATTAATTGAATACTTTTTATAAAATAATAACTTGATGAATTGACGATAAAAATATAGGATTATTGGTGGGAAGAAAAAAAAAGCTATGATTCAATAAATAAGATAAATTTTTAAAATTTAGTTTTTTTATTCGTTACATAACTTATTCAAATTAAAATATATAGTTGGTTACATTAATTAAAAATTGTATTTATTGCAAAGTTTGATGGCTTATTTGATTAAAATATATATAGATGATAAATATCTTTATAAAAAACACAAACTGATTTTTAATAAATAAATTGTTGAATTTTAATCGTATAATTGCGAAATTTTTAAATATTTCGGTCCCAAGCTTTCGCAATTAAACGGTTTTGACTGTATACCTATAAATAATTTAACTTCGAAAACGTCATAGCTTAATTTTTAAAAAGTTTGATTGAAATCTATATACACATGGTAGGTTAATTTATTCATATTTAAACATAAATTACATATCATTGATCAAATGATTCAATATCGTACTTTTTATAAAAATATCTATTAATAAAAAATATAAAAAGCTATATAATATAAATTAGCAATTGAATAGGACTTAACTCATCAAAAAAAACTATTAATAAAAAATATAATGCAATAAATATATTGTATAAATTCGCAATTGAATAACATTTAAGAAAAATATGAAGTATTAAAAAATATATATAATGCAATAAATATAATTTAAATTTGCAATTGAATAGATTTCAACTTATAAAAACGATGTCAAACTATTGTACTATAAAAATAACTATTAATAAAAATATAGAGTACAATGACATTTAACAAAAAGATACTTACCAATTATCAACTTTCAACTAAATTGGAATTAATATAAAAAAATATAAAATGCAATAAATATAATTTAAATTTGCAATTGAATAGAATTAAACTTATAAAAAGGATGTCAAACTATTGTACTTTTTATAAAATATACAATTAATAAAAATATGAGTACAATAAAATTTAACAAAAAGATACTTACCGATTATCATCTTTCAACTAAATTGCAATAAATATAATGGAATAAAAATATTAGAACAGATAATCACATTGATATAATTCTAACAAAATGATTGTTATTTACATTGCATAAATAAATATTTTCTTTAAATATTTTAATATTATTAAAAAATTTCATGGGCGAATAATAAGCCCATTTATATTGGGTATAGATTAATATATTTGTCTGTAACAATGTGGCCATAGATAATATTTCTACCTCTGTTGCCCAGACACCGTTTCCCATAACATTTCTGTTAACTAGGTATTCCTCTACAGGATATCCTATAAATTTTCCCATTTCCAATTTGAAATCTTCGCTCCTCATAAAAAGAATGCATTCCTCCCTAAGGTAATTATAATTTTCCTGGCTATTTGATATCTCTTGACTTATACACCTATAAATAGGTAAATAATTTAAATATTATATATAGATTCTAACCTAAAAAAAACAGTTCCCATCACCCACAATATGATCGGTTGTGAAAATCTCTTTTAATATACCACATTTTATCTTGGGATAACGTCCAATTACTTTGAAATTGAACCGTTTAGAGTGATATACCTTCGAGTTCCTTGTTGTGGGCAGAAAAAGTTCACCAATTTTCTTTGGTATTATTGCTTCCACAATAATTTGGTCATCTAAATTTGATAATTAAATAATAACATATTTTTAAAAAATATCACTACCCTGATGTTGTACACCTATATATCCTTCCTCTCTCACTATACTTTTAATAGCTATTATTGGATCTTCACCAAAAGTATCTATATCCAAAAAAATATATTAAATAATTTTATATATTATACCCTTTCTCTTGACACGTTTTATTTTAGTATCCTCCTTTCTAAATTCCAACCCTAGAATTTTAGATTTATCAAAAATATAATTATTCCAATTTTTAAAAAATAAAACTTTCTCCTGAAACTTTTATTCCACAGGACATTTCTTCAAATAGTGCTTCTTCTAATGAAAATATAATAATTAAAAATATATTTTCCTTTTTCCCAAATGCATTTGTTTACCTTCTCCTTCTCCAACTAAAGTTTTAAGAAGCCTACAAACTTAATTATTTGTTCAATATTATTTTATGAATAAACTGATATTACCTTGATCTTGAACACCCTCTATAGTTTCACAATGTGCAATATTTTTGACTGTATCTTTACCATTAAAAAAAGTTATATTCATATATTTAAAAAATAATACCTTTGTTACCCTCTATATAGTGCTTTAAATTACTTATATTAGCCTTAGTATGTAAAATTTTTCCTATTGAAGAGGATAATTCTACATTGCCTAAATATGTATAAATATTTTGTTAAAAATAATAAATTTACTATTAACAATTTTAACAATTGTATAAGGACCTACCCAAGGCTGCAACATTTTCCCTCCTTTCCTCTCAGCCCGACGATTATTCCATACAAGCACTTTATCATTTATGTGATAAAGTGCATTCTTAGCAGCATTACGAGTTTTATAATCTCGTTGCTGCTTAAGCTGAGCCTTTATAATATTTTTTGTTGCAGTCTTGAATATGCCTTTCATATTGTCTGCCCTTCTTTGGAAATTGCAGTCATAATCTGTATCAGAAAGATCGTCAAGATCTGTTTCTGGTTCTCTATCATCCTTAAATAATAAAAATTTATTACGTATAATAATTTTATACAAATAATGATATATATATCATACCTCACAGGGCAGTAAAGCTTTCCTGCCATACATCATCTCATATGGCGTAAATTTTGAGGATTCATGCCTTGATGTATTGTAGGCAAATACAATACCAGGTAGAACTCCAGGCCAATCTTTCTGATTGCCTTTTGTACACTTCAAAATGGAATTTTGAAGAGTACGATTGGCTCGCTCTACCATGCCATTAGCCTGAGGATGGTAAGATTATGTTAAAGTACATTTTAAAAGTGTTACAAGCTTTTTGGGTGATATCAGACTAAATTTTAGCAATATTTTAAAACAATATTCTATTAATTGAAAGAGAATTTTAAATTGAGTACTGTATCCTAGCTTATAAGAGCAATATTTACCTGATTATATTAAAGTACATTTTAAAAGTATTGCAAGCTTTTTGAGTGATATCAGGCTAAATTTAAGCAATATTTTAAAACAATATTCTATTAATTGAAAGAGAATTTTAAATTGAGTACTGTATCCTAGCTTATAAGAGCAATATTTACCTGATTATGTTAAAGTACATTTTAAAAGTGTTGCAAGCTTTTTGGGTGATATCAGGCTAAATTTAAGCAATATTTTAAAACAATATTCTATTAATTGAAAGAGAATTTTAAATTTAGTACTGTATCCTAGCTTATAAGAGCAATATTTACCTGATTATGTTAAAGTACATTTTAAAAGTTTTGCAAGCTTTTTGGGTGATATCAGGCTAAATTTAAGCAATATTCTATTAATTGAAAGAGAATTTTAAATTGAGTACTGTATCCTAGCTTATAAGAGCAATATTTACCTGATTATATTAAAGTATATTTTAAAAGTGTTGCAAGCTTTTTGGGTGATATCAGGCTAAATTTAAGAAATATTTTAAAACAATATTCTATTAATTGAAAGAGAATTTTAAATTGAGTACTGTATCCTAGCTTATAAGAGCAATATTTACCTGATTATGTTAAAGTACATTTTAAAAGTTTTGCAAGCTTTTTGGGTGATATCAGGCTAAATTTAAGCAATATTCTATTAATTGAAAGAAAATTTTAAATTGAGTACTGTATCCTAGCTTATAAGAGCAATATTTACCTGATTATATTAAAGTATATTTTAAAAGTGTTGCAAGCTTTTTGGGTGATATCAGGCTAAATTTAAGCAATATTTTAAAACAATATTCTGTTAATTGAAAGAGAATTTTAAATTGAGTAGTAAATATACCTTTTAACTAGTTTATCATATGTCTTTTTGATTCCAAAGTGACCTGTTAATGACATTTCTGTCTCACATCCTCCATGGAATGATACTAAAAATTTTTGTTTTTCGCTATAGAGTGAGATAACTTGAGCATTATGAAGGTTATGGTATAATTTGTCATTCTCTAAGAAAAACTTGGCACATTTGACACTAAGGTTTCTTTTTAAGCCATGATCGCCGACATAGGAGTTTGGGTAAATTTTGCATTTTAGGTAATTATAAATATCATTGATAACATCGTGATTCACTATTTAATATTTTTATATTAAAATAATAAAATATTTTACTTTTTACGTGAACAAGTTACCTTTTAAAAAGGATGTTTAATTTCACCAAGTAGATAAAAAAAATTATAATTCGATTCAAAATTTAAATTCGAAAATCAAATTTACAAGAATTTCAGCAATATTAAAAAAAACTGCATGATCATATAACTCTCCCTATCAATTTACATTGTAAATAATATCTTTGTTACTAATTAACTCCCTCCTTAACACTATTTATCAAAGGGGGAGTTAATCTATCATAGTTATTACTTAACTCAGAGTTATGTGATAAGGGGAGTTAATTAATCACGCTACAGTCTGGACACTAACTCCCCTTTAATTTTAACAAGGACGCTCTGAACAGAGCTCAAAATTTTAAGATCGACAAATACAGCGCTGATTCCTCAAATTACATATTCTTACCCATCATTTGCTCCACCTTAACTACATATGTTTGGCTAAAAACTTTTTTCGGCCGCCAAATCAGAAAAATTTCTGGGGAGATTCGCGAAGGTTTTTACTTAGGGCAGAGGATCGCAATAGCCATTCTTAAGGTTAATTATGTTTGTTTTATTAATTCGATCTCTCCTGATGATTAGGTGAAGAAGGTTTTGAATAATTTTGCTGCTTTCGCTTTTATTTATTTTGTTACATTATTTTATGATCTATGCCTCAATATTGTCTTTTGTTATTATGATTTTTTTTTCGTAATCGTTTACTAATTATATATTTTTCATTTTATAAGAGATTCTTCATAGATTGACATTAATATCACCTAAATTATAATACGTCTATTTTATAATTTTTATGTATATAAAATCTCAATAATTATCCATAATTTGGAAATAAAAAAAATGGCAGAAGAAAACATGCCACAAAAATTGCTTTGAAAAAACGTTCTCTCTTTTTCTATGTTTTTCCATTATTTTTTTAAGATAGAAGATATTTTTTAGAATTTTATAATAAATTCAATTATTTAGCCTTCTAAATTGTTTTCATTTATATACATACTTTATAATAAACAAGCTAAGAATACATTGATGTACTCATGGTTGGGGGGGGGGGGGTCCACTCTAAATTTTTCCTGTTCTTGTGTATTATTTTAAACTCAAAAAATTTTCTCTTACATTTGAAACGATAATTTGTAAAAAAATAAGTAAAATGTAATAATTTTTTAAAATAATGACAATTTCATTAAAAAAAGTTATTGAAACTATTATTTAATTAATTTTTTAGACAAAGTAATACGTGATCTCAAAGGTCTTCAATAATTTATTAGGAACCTCATCAAAAACTACCCCCCCCCCTTCCCCAGGACCGCCATAATAAAAAAACTGGATTTTAAATAAGGTCCTCCCTCCCCAACACTTTATATTATAATATTCGACTAACTAATTAGTAATTAATTAAAATTAAAAAAATTTAATTGTAAAAAATTATTTTATTTTTTTAAATCAATGATAGCATGTGTTTTATTCTTTATATGAATATCGAAATTTATATTTAGAAAAAAAATCATAATTCTTTATAAATTCATACAATGACTCAATTCAAAAATTAGTTATTCTTCATTTCTATTTACATATATTAAAACAATTACCAAGAACTAAATTCTAAAATGCAATGATTCAAAATCAAGTTAGCAATATTTATGATGCTTTTGTGCATTTTCACAAAAGACTTAAAGTAGTGCACAGAAGTCCATTTGCGGTTTCTCTGGAGTTGATATTTAATACATTCGTGTTTGAAAAAATATTTTGATGCCAACTTAGCTCTATGTAAACCAGTGACGAAGCGTCAAGTTTACTACTAGAGAAGCAATCATTTTTTTTATTATTTCGTTAAACCATATAAAAATTAAAAAATATATAAATAAGTAGAATTCATCTTAGTTTTTGTGTAAAATGATCAAGTACCGAATTATAAAAGTTATTGATAGATTTAAATTTTTTAATAAATTTTTTCAATCGAAATCAAAAATAGATTTAAAATTTAAAAAAAAAATTTACATTAAACTTATAATTTGTTCAATTTGCTTAAAATAATTTTGAGCAACTATGGTATTGTTATCATTAATGGGCGTCATAGCTAAGCAAGGATTTATAAATTCCTTTGCATGATAAAAATATCCTTCACAATCTTGTAGATATAAATTTAGAAAAAAATAATATTTATATCTTTTCTGATATATATGTTTTAATATTATATATATTAGTCTTAATATTGTTATAATATATATATATTTATTTAAATTATATGCTTATATATATATGAGATAAAATACTTAAATATTTTTATTCTTTAGATAAAAAAAAGCGTTAAATAAAAGTATATCAAAATGTATCTCAAAAGTATCTATAAGAAGATACAGATACCTCTGAATAGTATATAGATATAGGTATATACTATTTCATGCAACTCCGATAATCTTAATTAATTAATTTTCAATAATATAATTACAATTATTAAACATTAATTATTACTTTTAAAAAAGAAAAATATTTTAAGGCTGTGTCCAAAATCGAAAAAATCTAAATAAATAAAATAATAATTTTGAAGAAAAAAAAATAACATACGCTATTTTTAATGAATGCTGAATATAAAGCAATTCTGTTGAAAATACTAAAAGAAAATAGTAATGGAAAACTAATAACATCAACATGTGGAACTATACTGAAACCTTTAGGATCAAAAAACCTAATCAAGTCAAAAGAGCCAAAGCGGAAAGAACAAAACCAATAAGACCATAGATTTATTTGTTTTTATTATAAATATTTAATTGCCAACACTAAATAATTTTCCCTATATTTATAAAAAATAAAACAAAATAGTGTCCTATTTCATTTTTCGGTATTTATAAAAATATATTTTTTTTAAAAATAATAAAAAAAAATAAATTCGGATAAAAATTTGTTCAAAATTTATTAATTTGTGAAATTTTTATAAAAAAATTAGTAAGTAAAATTTTTAATCCTGTTAATTTTTATAAATTTACTAACCCAAACGATTATAGCCTTTTTATATTTATATTTTTTAGTGTCAGAATATAATTTAATGGAAAGCATAAGAGTGCACAGGAACCTCTAGTGCAAAAATGACTTAAAATTAGATATTCTGTAGAATATGAAAATTTGGGAGGAAATAGGAAAAACATAACTTGAATTATGATCAAGTGAAAAGAAATTTTTATCTGTAAAGGCTAAATTTAATAAATTATATTCTTTCATTCAACAAAATCGGTAAAAATATAAAATTATATTATAATTAATTTCTAAAGATAGAAAATAAGGATTTAATATATGTTGAACAATATATATGGTTAAAAGAAAATATTGATGATATTACCAAATATTCTGAGGCAAGTTTTAAATTGACACAGACAAATGTAAAATATTAAAAGACAAAAATATAAAATAGTTTTTTATTTTAGGAATCTGAAAATTGACATCTGGGAACAGTATTATTTTATATTTGTATATATAATTGATATATTTTAATAGGCTACATCAAACCTTAATGAAATTGCTAACCCCTTAATGATATAAATAATGGGTAAAAAATGTCTATTGATTCTTTTGATGATACTATAATTTCTGTACATTATAATTAATAATATTGATATTTATTATCGAATAATAGCTAGATAAAGATAATGCCAACAAAGAAAATGAAAACCCTATAGTTATTTAGATAAATTGATAAAATAAAACACTAAAAATCTTTAGAAGAAATAATTATGCAAATATATTGAAACCATGAGTTATTTATACGGTAAGGATGCCATGTTAGAAATGAATCTTTAGTGACTAGAAAATTAGGACCAGAGTGATATGATGAAAGCAATTAAGATATATATTATTCTCGCACCACCTCTAGTTGGTATAATATGTTTTAAAATACTAGTAGGTTGTAATAATATTAAAAATATACTCGTATTATTAGTCAAAAAAAGTGAAGGAAAAAAAGATATCTAATAAAGATTACATTCATTGTTTGATCAATAATATGATGAATAATTTTTAATATTTTTTTATTCAAAATAAATAGATGGGTTAAAGATTTATGCAAATTGTTGCTTATATTAATTATCAAAAGCATTGATTAGTAAAGTTTATTAAAATATTAACTGTAATATATTCAATATGGTCAAATATGTCTGTAAAAGTGGCATCTTACCTAATATTTTGTAATCAATTCTTTATAATTGTTAAATAATGGAATTTATTTTTTATATTTAAATTTGTATTGATGTATTATTTGAATATAACCTTATTTAATATGTTGATGAAAACTTACGATTATTTTTAGGTAACCTTGCTTTTGTTTAAAATATTTTTGTAATATATTTTGTTACTTTTTATTTTTGTTTAATCAAATTTGTATTTAATATGAAAGACATATATACCTTATTTTTTGATAATAGTTTTTATTTTTTTTTAGATTTATGTACAAATATAATAAACTCAATAAACGAAATACTTTTTTTTGTTAACATTTTGGCACCATATTAACATGGTACCTTGGGTGATGATTGGAAAACCATATTTGGAGAGAAAAAATTTCTCAGGTCATCTTTACCTGGGAAAAAAAATTCTTAAATTTAAATTAGAGATAAATTAATAAAACATATGGTCAATATAGATAATGTTGATATGATTTTAAAAGTAATTCTACTCCATTTATTAAATAAAATTTAAATAAGTAACAATATGATGACCAATATGTAACTATGTGATGACCAATAACCAATATGTAACTCAATGTGATGACCAAGAACCAATATGGAAATTAGGCAATAGGCTATGAATTCTATGTAGTGAAACCAATTATGATTTACAAAATATTCTATATCCACCAAGCTTATATGACAAAATCATGATTGAAGAAGGCAACTTACGATATGAATATAAAGCTAACGATGTGGATAA